ATAATTTATTATACTTAAAGTAGTTATGAGAGTAACAGCTTAGGTAGGTACTGAATTACTGTTTTGGAAGCACTTCTATTAGTTTAGCACAATAATTATGGTCTTGTGTTCGAGTTCTGAAAGGAATAATAAAAACTTTTTTTATTTCACGGATTTCAGTGATGAGTTTTTGGAGAAGCCAGTTTCCCAGCGCCACATAGTTTTAAAATGACATTTTCTATCGCGTGTACCACGGGGAGTGCTCTGAAGAATTGTTTGACCTGATACCTGCCGCATATGTTCGCCATCGACCTTCACACACAGCATATGCATCCCTATCATATAGATCAGTGCGCTTCTCACGTAGTTTTCTGCCTCGCACATCAAAATGATCTGTCGTCGGCGGTATTTCCGAACCGTTGTGACCTTCAAACCTTCAAGAAAACAGCGTATTCCTTTTTAAAAGGCCGTCAACGCACCAGTGACTCCTCTGATATTGCGGTTGTCCATAAGCGGCGCTGATCGCTTACAATCAGGTGATTCATCTGCTCGTTTGCCTCCTATTCCATAAAAAAAGAAGTCTAATTCAGTTTATAGGAATTGGGTTACTACAACATCAGAAAAAGCAAAGAAAGCATCCAAACAAATAATTTTTTATAGTATTAGTGACAAATTTTGAAAATGTGACCGGTGTATGTCAGTTAATCCATTAACCATCAAATTGAAGAAAATATGGATGTGTGGAATATATTGTCGTGCATTATTATTTACTCCTCCGATTAATTAAAGACGAAATTTAAAATACCGAGAACCAAAGAGGTAAACATAAATAATATAACAATAAAAATAAATTTAAACTTTTATTACTTCTAATAAAATAGAATATAAAATCACTTCTCTTTTAAAACATAGTTCAAAACTCGAGGCAGAAAATAAATCGAATAAAAGTATTAATTGAATAAAATGCCAAAATAAAAAGTTCCTCAAGTTCCAAGTAGCTGAGTAGAAAGTTATTTAATTGACTTGTTATTAATTTGTCACAAAACGTATTATTATTGTAGACATTGTCGTCTGGAAATATTTTGCTAAGACAAAGAAACTTTTTAAATGAATTTCGTATAACTACTTATTAAATGTACCGATTGTAATTGATTGGAGAGCTTCATACACGAAAAATTAGTAAATAGTTCAGTTCTTCCTGGCTAAGAAATTGTATTTTGACGTTAGAAAGCTATGATTTTCCCTCACAGAAACCTGATACAAAACAACCCTCTTCCCGGCTAAGACCTATGCACAAGCGAAGAAAGAATGCACCTTAATTACCACGCTTGCTCTAGCAATTGGTGATTTCAAAGTTAGAATTTGAAGAAGTTTCCTTATCCGTATATCAATAGTGACTAAACAAACATATAAAATGTACAATTACATTTGAAAAACTTATATTAGAACTTACCAAATTACTATTATTCGGACAAACAACACAATCCGAGGTTGTATTTGAAACAAAGCATCTCTGGATCTCCCGCAGATTATCTGAATACATTTGATGGAAAAACTTAAGAACACCAGAAAAGGGAGCGTGCCCGGATAAGTTTTAAGCCCTCCCATTAATCCAGGCCGGTCTTCGTGATTACATTGGGTATACCAACTTATATAATATGTATACTATAAGTATATATGAGATATATTATGTGGAGATTAATCTAAAGATCGAAACAACCTTGACCCAACATAAAAGCTTATATTTACGTGAATGTTACGTATTGGCTTACTAAAACGTTTATTTTTATTAATTTGTTTTCCAATGTTTTATTATCAAAATTGTCGCTTCATATCACTGAAAAAGATGAAAAATTAAATGTTCAAAATAAATGTTTAATGTTTCATTTTAAACTTTCGTTTACGTTAACGATAAAAACCAGTACGAACATAACGTCAAATATTATCTAGTTTAAACTTATTACAGCATCCCAAATTTGACTGAAACCTTATATCTATATAATGCATATATTGTACATCTACTATATAAAAATAACTCGGGTTTTCCTTCCTGACGCTATAACTCCAGAACGCACGACCCGATTTCCACGGGTTTGCATTCGTTAGAAAGAACTCGGGCTCCGTGAAAATTCAGGAAAAATAGGTCTATAGCAAAGAAAATTCAGAAAAAACACATTTTCTTCATCTTCCAAACGAAATCCTTATCCTTACTAATATTGTAAATCGGAAAGTGAGTTTGTTTGTTTGTTCCGCTTTCACGCCGTAACTACTAAACCGATTGCTTTGAATTTTTGCAGAAGTAAAGTTAGAAGTCCGGATAGGGTTCTTTTTAGCAATTGATATTTCCGATGGAAAACAAAAGTATTAGTATAGATGGCGCTGTGTGTATTGGTATATGTCACATAGGCTACTTTTTATCTTTTTGTGACGCGAGCGAAGCAGCGGGTAAAAGCTAGTGTTATATAAAACGAAGCCATCTGGTGGCGAAACGGAGTTCGCCGGGTTTGCTAGTTATCTATATTTTACTATCGGCCAAATAAATAAATAAATATAAATTGTCGCGTTTAATTTACGTCAAATACTAGTTTATAATTAAAATACTTTGAAAATATTATCGGGCACCAAATAAAGTCATTATCCTTCATAATCCGTCTAAAGTCCACTCACAACAAGATATTAAACTACAACTCACGAATCCTAATCCAAACTTTAGTTTGCAACCATTTCGATATAAAACTTAAAGTAAACTGAGTTCAAATCTCAACTACCTATTTAATATTCAGACTGAGTGGACAGTCTGACCGCCAACTTCCAAGCTTCATCGCTCAAGTTCTACAATTAACACGTGGAAAGACAATGTTTAATTCAACAGTTCAACACTAATTTTTAAAAGACCTTTCAGTTCTGTTATGAAACAAAACATTCAATGAAATTGCTACTCTTTTCTTTGAATTTTTATTCAATTTGATTGGGACCGAAACTAAGTTGGTAGAATGCTGTGGACTAGCTACTTATTCACGTGTAGTTTTTGTAAAACAATTTCCTTTTAAACTAAATGTCAAATAGTGAATTCATTATACGCTGTTTACATTCGAAATGTCAGGACCTATCATGAATATGCATATCCTAAAACTTGACAGGAGTAGGTGTAATTTGTATTTGTCTATTTTATTTTATTAAGGACAATAAAGAACACTATACGCCAAATATACTTAGCAATAACAATGGGGTAATCTTAAAGCTACTTGCTCATTTACAGAACCATATTTTTTCCTTTAAATGCGTAGACAATTTTTACGATTTTCATGATTTAAGTGTAGGAGAACCATGCTCCCGCACGAGTGGGCCGGTTCGACCGGAGTGATACGACGGCCTTTCAGAAAACCGACGTGAAATAACACTTGCGTTGTGTTTCGTCGTGTGAGTGAGGCTTTCGGAAGCCTAATCCCCCAATCTCCCCAATTCCCGAATCCTCAAAAATCCTTAAATTTCTAATCCCCAAAAGGCCAATTACGCACTTGTAACACCTCCGGTGTTTAGTGTGTTCATGGACGACGTCGATTACTTACTTTTTACTTACCAGGTAATCCGTCTCACAGTTTAGCATAAACTCTTTCCCCAACAAGAAATAAATCAAAAGAGGGAACGGAACTGAAATATGGGTACCCATTTCTCATATTTATTAAAATACATTAATATAATTATTAATTATGCAATTCAAACGCTTCCAGTACAAGTTGCGTTTAAATGCTCTAATGCAACCACGACCAATGGTTCTGCAGTCTCCTTTTTATAAACGTGAGCACGCTACATTAGCTACAACGACATAGTATTCGTACCGTTAAGTGAAAGGCAAATCGCACGGTGATGTCCAAAACGTTCTCACCATGGTTTAATCATCTGTTATATTTGACAATTAGTTCCTAAAGTATCGCTTAATAACTCACTGATAGGTGAACGACAAAATCGGAATTGTGAAAAGTCTGGCTATAAGAACATTATCCTTTAAAATGAAACAAATTGTGCGTAAATTTTTAGTTCCTAAACCCTGCGGTTTACTGTTCACTGAATGCACAATTAATCACTGAACCTGCTTTCAGTAAAGGTTTCACACATTCTCAAACTATTTTCTTTACAACTTCTACTTTTACGAATTACAATTACAAAAAAATGCATCATGACGTCACTGCTGAATCTGTTTTTCTCCAATGACTTCCAGACTTGACAAATTGGTCAGAAGCGACCAAAACCGATAATAAACTCTAGTTATATCTTAAACTGTAGTTTAATAGTTTAACTGCTGAACCAGATCTTGTTTGTTGAACTTTAATTACTGTAGTTAATGTAATAGGTGTTAGTCGGTTCAGACTTGTGGACCTTAAGGGCGTTTAATTATAAGACGGGCACGATTTCTACGAACGGTTTTAAGGATACATACATACAGAAGGATACATTGACCGACTGCCCTTCTGAGTGTGTTATTTTAGGTTCCTGAGTCAAAGAAATATCCTATTATTAAGTCCTGGCCTCCTAAGGTCGTCTCATGTTTTACTGGAAATTTCCAAAATAAGAAATAAGATTATCTACTTCACGTTTTGCTCAGGTTTTCCACGACGCAATAATGTGAACATAAAATTGATATCTACAGTATTAAAAGCCATTCAATTTTTCAACAAATTGGTCCCAGTTTCGCTGAATGTGTACTTGTAAATTATGTGATTTTAAACGCACCCACGACTGAGGTGGACTTTGGAGCAAGACAACGTAAAATACTGAAATCGTTACATAGGTACGCTTACAAACGATGTTTTAGCTATTTTAATTTACCCTTCGAAACTAAAAGTGTGCAACTCGAATTTATAACAATTATCGTCCGCAAGATATTGGGGGAGATCTATGATCAACAGTGGACGTCTTCTATGATATGAAGATGATCATGATCATTCTCAGATGTTTTAAACGATTTCCACTGAAACTCTTATTACTGAAATAAACTGTCAAAATACCGTAAAACTACTTGCCTTTTTGTATAGTTACACTTGACTGCAACAACGATGAGGAGTATATTTGCCACCATTGACAACAATATAACTGGCACATACAGAGTGATCAACACATTTTCAGGCTGAAAAAATATGTCTAACTCCGAACCAAACTGAAAACTCCCGTTCAGCGAACCACTGATGTTCAAACCTTGTAACGCGCTGAAGTCATGTAAACTTAAATTCGAAAACATTTTGGAAAATATAAACTAAACTATCCAACTTCACAATTTATTATTAAACTTTTTGAAATCATTCTCACTGTTTTTATAATCATTAGATTATATTCACATTATTCACAAATACACACTTTGGAAAACTAAAAACTGCACTCGGAAATACGCGAAGAGGAAATTTCGGAAAACTCACAAGTTTCGAAAGTTCACGAGATCGCGAAACTGGCTGAAGCTTTCAGAACCGACGTGTGCTATACGGAAGGTTTCGAAGCTCACTGAATGGCAGACCGAACGAGGGAGAGGGAAAGAGAGTGAGCGAGACAACTCATTGATAAAGACGTTTCAGAAGTACTGAAACTAGTTTTACTGAACTATGTTGCTCAGTGAAAACGATGCATTTCAATGAAATAATACCTTGATGGCTGCTTACGTATTTATCATATAGACTTATGTTAGTTAATTTTTATTATTAGACACTTTTAGTATTACACTAAGCTACATATATATTTTTTTAATTATTGTAATATTAGAAACTCACTACTTTTGGTGTTAAATAGCGTTCAAATTGTATTGTAATTAATTGTGTTAACTGTATGATTAACATAATTTGTAAGGCTTATGTTTTAAGCACCGAGTTTCATAAAACTATTTCATGAAATTCATTGCTTGCGAATAAATTATAAAAATTATGTAATAAATTTGCTGACATTTTAATTACAAGGTCAAATTATTAATTCGATTTCAAAAGGCTTTGATAATAATAATAACACATACTATGTATTTTGTTTTCAGCATGATTTCAGCAAAATATATATCGTTAGAAACTGGAAATTAATTGCATTCAGCTGCTGATTCATTGCGGTTTTTCTTTCAGTCATAAATATGTATTAATAGTGTAACGCTATGATTTATTTCAGATACATGACATCACTGTATGCTGCGAGGAACGTAAATATCAAGGTATTTATTTCATATCTTGTGTTAATCCTGGCTTCGTGAAGATATAATTATATTGGTTTTTGTCGTAAGTAGTATTAAATTGTTTACACAAGGATATTTCAGTTAACATAGAAGAAATAACAACAAATATAAAAGATCCAACAGTCAAACTATTTATGTATAGTTTTGTTGGACATGGCGTTAAATTTTATAGCATATCATGTACCTTTTATTATTAAATAAATAATAAAAAAAAATAATAATAATAAGCCCGCAGGGCACCTTGAGGCGAGGTGACGGGCATTAGTGATCCCGCGGGCTACCATCATCCCGAGTGCTCCAGGGAGAAGTCACCGTTCCTTCTTCTCCGGCTTGCCTTAATTGGCTGGCTGGAGTGAACGATGACAAGGAATAGGTCTCCCACCTCTGGCTTGCCTTCATTGGCCGTCCAGAGTGGAGTCGCGAGAGCAGTGATCCTGCTCGGAGGGTAAGAAACTATTCGTAAGTCGCGAGTGGGCCAGGGATGCAGGTGGCTTCGGCTGGAGCAGATGATCTGAGTAGAAAGCGGTGGTAGTTTCTTAACCCTTCCTATGTTGCTATATCTAGCAACCATTCCCGGGGCCCGGTCGGTGAGTTGGCGAGTCTCCACCTGCCATTTTTACGTGTAAAAATTACATTGTTTCGGCAGGTGCCATAGTCATCCATAGTTCCCAATTTACCAGTCCACAGCAACCCATCCATAGCCCTACCTTTTTTTTCCATTATTCACAATAGTCCTACACTAACCGGGGACTGTCCTTGGGTGCATTTCCATAGTGCATACAGGGATAGTCGCCGGTTTGTATCTCCATTACATTTAGATTAAAGTTGTCTAAAGGGCCTCTGCGCAGTTGGCTTCGGCCCCTCGTACGCCTCCTAAATGACCGGGACTCTGTGGTCCCGTGAATGGTAAAGACATACATAATAATAATAAAAAACACGCAACTTTAAGTGTGGGAGTGCAATGCTTCGCCACGATTGGGTCGCCTCGACCGGAGTGATACCACGGCGACACAGAAGACCGACGTGAAACAACGCTTGGGTTGTGTTTCATGGTGTGAATGAGGTTACCGGAGGTCCTATTATCCTCCCCCTTTCCCAAATCCCTGAATTCCCAACAATCCTCAAAAAAACTGTTTACCGGCTTATACCATAAAAAAGCAAAAGGCTTACCGTCTATAAGGATGCTTGTAATTATAATACACACACACTCGCGCGCATACTTAGCACTCTACTTCGATTACTTACAACGACCTTATCTGGTTTCTTACAAATATTTCCATCCAAAGGTTGTCTGGAAGAAATCACCATTGTGTGATAAGACCGCCCATTGTACGCATATTTACTTGAATTGGGTTTAAAGAATTTTTTTTTTTTTAAATTGTTTGTTTTAAACTACATAAATGTGTACAATAAAGCATATATAAATAAATAAAAAATAAATAAACGACTCCGATTTTCACACAGTGTACTAGATACATAATCACACGCATTTTTACAATGGGTGTTATATAGAAACTTTGTATAAAGCGCTATCACCACCTAGTACCTACGAGCCTAACACGTTTCTCTAGCTTTTACCACTATCCTTTCCAAATATTTTCTACAACGTCTACCGTCTTTATGAGATCTGTCCCTAATAGATCCATCCTTATTAAACAACAAGAACTCCAAACCGACTTGAAACCTCGCTACAACAAACACAGTGAACATTAGTTTATATTCGTATCATACGAATGCTCACCGACGGTCTTTGCATGATAATAAGGTCTAAAGATAAGGGTATGTCTATGTACCTACACAATGTCTGACGAATTAGTCTGTTATCACTCGTAGCCTCTTAGAAGTTATTTCTGTTATGGTATAAGCCGGTAAACGATCTGATGGTAAGCAAACGACGTCGCCCATGGACACCTGGAACACCAGACGCGTTACAAGTGGAAACTATAGTTTTTTTTCTTCTCCATCTATAAAATCTTCTAATTCACTTCGTAGCGGGAACCAAGACAGTTATTCATGTTCCTGGGACGCGCCGGACTTCAGTGTTCCGGTATTTTCATGGTTTTATCTACTGTAGATCCTTACAGCGGTTTTGGGAAGTTGTGTCGGGCTTGTCCCATTTAAAAAAAGTGCGTTACTGGCCTTTTAGGATTAGGAATTTGAGGATTGTTGGGGATTCAGGGATTGGGAAAGGGGGGATTGGTAATTGGGCCTTCGGTAACCTCACTCACGCGTAGAAATACAACGCAAGCGTTGTTTCACGTCGATATTTTGTGAGGCCGTGGTATCACTCCGGTCAAGCCGGCCCATTCGTGCCGAAGCATGGCTCTCCCAGATTTAAAACATTTTGTATCTCTCTCCCTTAGAAAGAGTTTTATCTTTGATGACATAAATGTTCTTTAAAATGTTAAATTGTATACCATCCTTATATGACTTTTCTGAATAAGTACCAAAAGAAACTGTCATTAGCAGTTATATTGACACACAATTTCTTACTCTTTGTTTTGTTAGCTCATAGGCTTCTTCCAAACGTGGTAAATAAATAAAATAAGTAAATATAGATTTATAGTTTGCTGAGCGAATGGTGTTTAATTATAATTATTTTATCAACATGTTTAGTATTTGTATTGTAACTTTCTTGAGACATCTTAAATTAATTATTATGTTTTCGGTTTAATCACATAATTTTTTGACGAGGACCTCGACTAGTCTCAAGCCATGCTGGAGGCTTATGAATATAAGCCTGCAGCATTCCGCGACAGTCGCCGCTTCGGGGGTATAATATTACATGAGTTATCCGAAAACATAATAATTAACATGTTTTATACATATTATTAATAACAGAACCTATATTTTTCTATTTACAATCCATTTTATGCGATTTGTAAACAACAAAACATAGCTTTGCCTGCACAAGGTCAATACTATTCTTCTCATTCATTCATCAAAATATATCCATCTATTGCGAACATCGACATCAATATCGAATATAGGAAGGAACTCATTAATATAAAAGATGGCTTACACACACATTTTTTGAAGGGATCGTCTTATTTCCGTCGCCTGCGGTAATGACATCGTGATTGCCAATAATTCATTGGCAAATCCGTCACCCTAAATATAGCCAAAACGAAATATTAATAGGTTTCACAACGTCATGTGTGTTGAAAAAAATGTGAGACGTACCTATGTAAAGGTGTTTACATAGAAGCCACCTGGTAATGATGACAAAAGAGCGCATGTAACTAAATATAGTTTTACCTTATGTGAAAGGTCAGGACTAGAACTAAATGTGTAGAGTACGAGAAATTTGTATCATTTATTTTTTGTTCAGGAGCGAAAATATCGTCTATAAATAGGGTTAAGCTTAATGGATGATTAATATCATAATAAGATATATTTGAAGCAAAAATGCTATGTTTTCATAATAACTATCGTGAGATATGCTGAAGTAACTAAAAATAACAAATTACTTACGTAAATATACTGTGAAAGCTATACTAGTTTCGAGTGACAGGCCTAAGGAGCCAAATAGGCTGCGCGACATCGCCGCGATCGCGCACTCTGCTCATGACAAAGAGTCCTCCTGTGACTCGAAACTTGTAGAGCTTTTCTCAGTGTATTTAGGTGAGTAACTCGTAATTTTTAGTTAAAACTGTTACTATTTACCCCTTTCTATGAATGAATTTGATCCCAGGATATTATGATCATCAGTCGTAAACCAATTTGTAAAGGTATAAAAAAATCGAATTTGATCATTCGCTCAAATATCAAAGGAGAATAAAATCTTTAAAAATGTTCGTCTGCTCGTCTTACATTTTCGTTGGAAATTAATTCAAACTGCGTAAATCAAACATAACGACATGCATAAATATTTGAAAATGTTTCTTTAGAACGTTCCAATAGGGTAGATGACTAATTTTTACTTTAATATCCGTCTGGTAGATTATTTTAACACAAATTATTTATTTTCTTACAGAAACAAATACTTTCGACGATATGTTAATTTGAAATATCGTGTGACGTCACTTCTAGGTACGTTTTATACGTAGAAATGACGTTTTCGCTCCCACTCCTATACTGTAATTCGTTTTATTTAAGAAATACGTGTCTAATATTTTTTCATTACCTAACTGACAGACTAAATATATTTTTAATTTTATACCTTGTCATCATCACTATTATAGAGGTAGTTGGTGATGAATTATTAATAGTGACTAATTTACTGTAGCTCATAGAGGTGTTATTAAGACAGCTTACTTC